TTTTAAGTTTATAAATAACTAAATATAGATATCGTTAATTTTATATTTACTAAATGTAAATTATTATAAGTAAATGAAGATTAATAACATTCTTACTATCATATTCTGTATTCATAGATGTAGAAGATGCAGATGGGGAAGTTGGACAGATATTTTCTAAAAGTTTGTCTCCGTTATATTGCTGTTGTATTGCAGATGATGTTTCTGCTGAATGTTGTTGTTCTATTTTTTGCTTTTTGGATATGTGTGCAATATCCAATTCTTTTTGCTGTGTGGCTAATTGCTGCTCATTACTTGAATTAATATCTGTGGATTGTTGCGCATACTGAAACATTAATACCAAAAATAATTAAAGAAGACATGAAGAAAAGTTTATAATAGAATAAAACGTGAAATAAAAAATTGTATTTAAAAAATAACAAATACCTCATTTAAATATTTGTTTAAATTGTTTTGAAATTTTCGTCGAGGACCAATGTTAGGTATTAAAATCTTAAGATCTTCTTCTGTTAAGCTATGAAATTGATCGACTTCTATTTCTTGAGCTACAGATAAAAAAAACATGCTATATATAATTATGTATTCTAGCTCTCTTTTCATCACTATAGTAAGGACACATTCCAGCAAAAACATAATGTATAAACATAGTGAATCATTACATCTTTGTTACTTCCCAACGTTAAACAAAAATGAAATGATTTGTTCTGTTATACTGCCTTCTTGTCGTAAAATGAATACAATACAATAAAATCATAATCAACAAAACACGTAAAAATATTTTATACTAAATTTTTTCCTATGTCCGAAAATATAAACTGAAAATTTTTTCATGCATGAATATTTAAGTATTATGAAAATTTTGTTGGAACACATTATAAAAATCACATACATAGTAAATATGTCGAAATTATAGACTTTTATAACTAGACTGCTGACTTAATGTGATAGAAAGAGATGAACCTGATTTCAAGCTGACCTTGTTTCAGTTCACATATGCGTATGTATATGCGTCCTGCCTATGAATATCACGTGAATTTATGTGAAAACACTAGATGTTATTATCCGTGATCTATAAGGGGGGAGTAAATGAATGTAAATATGACGCTGCCCAGTGCTGTCTTGAAATAGAGGCAAAAGTTTATAGAAGTCTGCAGTCGAAATGTACGCAATATACGTGTAGGCATTCGATTGCCGCTATTACATATACAGGGTGACCCATTTTAACTTAGACAGCCAAATAACTCGAAATATCGCGATTAAATAAAAAAATGTTTAAAACAAAAATTGTTGGATATG